AAGATGACAGACCATCTGTTGGTCCATGTTTCTTCTAAGCTAGTACTACTGTTATTGAACAATGTTTTGTCAGACAGCCAAAACATGAACAGTATTTTGCTTTCCATCATTGCAGCTTATTTTCCAAGGCACATGCATCACAAGAGCAGGCCTATATCTTCTCAGCTTTTTGTCTTCCTCTCAAGTGTTGTGGATTTTTCTCCCCAGCAACTGCAGGTGAAACAGTTTTATCAAATTGAGCTGTTATTTGTTGTCTTCCAGGGTTACTAACAATCCTCATATATAAAGCATCCACACACTAAAAAGAACTTTCAATACATGTTCTCTGCAAACCAGGGTTATCAGTGGTTGGTTTCTGCAGATGATTTACCTGCTAGAATTCTGGATCCTGACATCCCTCAACTACCCTGCTCTTCTGCCCTGTCACACTAGACATTGGAGGATTTAGAGCTCCATTCAATGTCCTTCATCACCAGCTGGACAAGTGGCATCATGCTGTGGCTGGCTTTGAATTGTGTGATGGCAAATCTTTGTTAATGTGCTAGCCAGCAGGCCAAATGGAAGCAATAGCTGCTGAGCTCAGGCTGCAACTCGTCTCTCTCCATGGCAGTCATTTGGACACATTTTCTCTACTTATTCAACAGCTTTATGTTATCTCTCTGTTTTATTTGATGTAAATAAGGATTATTAATTGCAAGTTAGTTGCAGGATCCAAGGAATAAACAAGTGAGCAAGAAGTGCAAGTATTTCTATGTTTTACTACCTCAGGAAACCAGATTAACTTTATTCTACCTTGACTACCATTTTTCCGACATGATCTGTTTCATGAAGTACCTCTTACACCTGCTCAGTATTACTGTCTCACTGTATTTCAAAGACTACTGGGAGAAACATCTTGAGCACAGGAGACTGAAGGGCTTAAAAGCTTTATGACACTGCTAGTCCACAGGTCCCAATCAGCTATTACAAACTCAAGACACATAACTCAGTGCATCTGTCTGATTGTTCTATTTGCCTGAAACCATTACAGACCCATAATCATATTTAGAGAAAAATACTGTCTCCCTAACAAATGATATTCAGTGTGATGTTGTCATTTTAGAAGGTGACAAATGCAAAACTTTTCTCCATCAGACTAGTGCAGAATACTTCCATGATAAGAAACAACAAAAATGGTGCACAGGTTGTTGCACACTAAAGAAGTATCTGGCTGAAAGATCATATTGCTCCTTCACAGTAACTGTTGACATTTGTTACTTTGCATGCATCCAAATCCCATTGCATTTTAAAAACTTCAGTGGAGATTCCAGGACAAATGTAGCCTGCAGCTAGCTCGAGGGTCCAACTGTTTTCAGGCCCCATTCATTATACAGCTGTCAGCCAAGCATCAAACCTTCTCTTCAGATCTAAAATTTATTAGAATAATACTAAGAGATTTGTTGCAAACATCATTTTAGGTGATTGTTTTCAGAAAAGATGCATTCTGCTTTGCACAGATCATCTTAATTTTTGCCTGGCCTTCTAAATGGTGAATGCTGCCAGCCCACCTCAAGTCTCTGTCTGCTCCTACAGATGAACATTTTTCAGACCATTCCTAGTAAGATCGAGCATAGTGGAAAAAATGCAGCTGAAGGTAGCTGTAGCATTAGACTGTATCTAAATAGATACTTGTATCTTTCTCTTTTGACACAGGCATGTTTATTCAGAAAATTGCACACAAAATTGAACTAATTTAACATGGATAAAGCACACATGAGAAAGCAAATAAAGACTGAAAATCTATCTACTTTTCAAAATAGCATGAAATCTCCTATTATTTTTAAGAGGATTTTTGCACACAGTTGATGTAGAAGAAAACAAATGGAGCAACTAATCTTTATTCTTTATGATTGTGCATTGCTGCGCAGAAATAAGTAGTACTATTTCAGCAATATCTTGAATCTCTCATTCTGCATGGACGTTAGCTCAGAATAATGAAAAAAAGAAACCCCGGACTTTACTTGCGAGCAGCATATATGCAGGTTTGATTCTTTACTTGTTTTACCTAGAAACGGATAGAAAAGAGAACTTATACAGTGTGTGTTTATGGATTAGGTAGACTAAATTTGGAACATAATAGAAAACAGGAGTATTTGAAATAATGTCAGTAGCAGCAACAGGTAGAATTTACATTATAGCATCATATTATTATTCTTTGTATAGTGCAGCTCGCACTGCAGTCACAGGAGCGACAAGATGCCGGCCAGCCTCTCCTGGAGTGACCAGAGGGGGCCACAAGAGTGGCCACTCCCAGGCTCTCACAGAGACCGCCCAGGTAGTGGTGAGTGCCGCGGTGTGAGTGACACAGGCAAGTGCAGGCTACGAGGGTCCAGGATGAAGGAATGAGAGAGAGGACACTTGTGTAGATACCAGGGAGGCTTTATTCCTCAGTGGGACCAGGGACAAGTGCCAAAGAAAAAGGGGTCCAGATAGCTCTTATAAAGGGAGTGGGTGTGAGAGGTGGAAACATGAAGCAACCAATGAGGGGAAGCAAGGGGAGGAGTGCCAATAGGGAACATACAGGGGAGGGAAGAAGCCTTGGAGTCAAATCATCTACTGAACTGGGGATGATGGACACAGAACTTTCTCAAAGAAAATGGGGGGGGGGGGGGGGGGGGGTGTGTTATAATGATTGACAGGGAAGGTGGGCAGCACCACTTGGACTAACACAGCCATCTGAGGGCATAAGGGGAAGAACAGGGAGACAGTCACTTGGAGGGACAGCCAAGTGGTGGGAAAAGCAGGGAGTAAACAACTTAGGGAGAAACCATTCTGAGGAGTTGAAATGGGGGTACAGAGGATCAGACCACTTCTCTAACTGACAGAAAATAGCTAACTTTTGTAACGGAAACAACATTAAAACTTGAAAAAACATGTGACGGCACAATATAGGAATCAACATACAAAATGTAACATTTTTTCTGTTAGAAGTCTTTGTAACAAGGGCAAATAGAACTGAAAAGCAGAATTTGGACATAAGAGTGATGTTTTATTTTCAATACTATATTCATTTATCTCGCAACTTTTTCTCACAACTTTCTAAGGACTTTCTGAAGCATTTCACTTATATCCAGTTCATTAGTACACCACAAATGCCATTTAATGAGTTAATGTGTGCCTTTCTGAAAATTGTGGAATTAATTATCTCCATTCAAGTCCTGTTTCTCAGAAAACTGGGAATTCCTTCACTTGTGCCATGCCAAAAGAGCTTGTTTTATGCAGCATTGCTGTCAAGCATAAGTCAAGCCCAATCCAGCCCTGCACAGATAGCAGTATACTTGTGAGCTAAAGCTCAGATCTTTTTTAAGTGAATGCAGTGGAAGTTTCAGGTGAAAAGACATAAATTGACATATTATTCAGAAATTTAAAATTTAGAAAAATTTTTGAGCTCCATAAAATTCCTCAAGTTTCTCAGAAATCTGTTTTGTGGAGCAAGATCTGGCTTTGAGGTTAACTCTGCTTTTAGCAATAGGTTGCACTAGACACCTCGGATGGTTCTTCCAGTCTAAACTACTGCATAATTGTATGATTGAATGGCAGAAAGCTACTTCGTGTGGATTGTGGTAGGATGAAACTTGGGAAGGAGATATTGTAGAAAAGTAAGTTTATATTTGGCTTGATGATTACATTCCAATATTTTTAGTGCCTGCAGGGGTATTTAATATATTAGAAAAAAACCAAAACAAACAAAACTTGAAAAATGTGTGAATTTAAGAGAATGTAACATGCTGTATGTAAAAAGGAACATAATCTCCAGTTTATTATCTCTTGTCTGGAAAAAAAACCAAAATAATTCCTTGATTATCTAAAGCAAAGGCATAATAAATAAGGAACACAAAATGAAGGATGTATGGCATCAAGGAACTTCCCATGCTTTGGAAAAAAGAGAGACAATATCAATAATCAGGTAAAGTTATTATTTCTTCAAGCCATTCTTCAGCTTTAGGAGAGGCTTTCTAATTGTCAAGATTTTGAACATTGTGGACTATAAAAATTAAAGATTCTAAAATTCTGTATCAGTCTACATATTATTTGATAAAGGAAACATTAGAAATCAGTGAAAAGAGTAGAAACAAAACAAGGTGTTAACATGAATTGCTTTTATCCTTTTCCTTCATCTTTCTTTTCAGGAAAACCTTTCCCTTCTTTGCACAGACTTTCCTTGCAAAATGTGCTTCCCATATGTTGCTTAAATATATGGCATGCAGTATACATAAGATGTCTAGTATATGAAAACTAGAGGGGGTCATAAGGATTAAAGGAAAGTGAAATTAAAACAATATGCAGTAACTTTTCCATTTAGAGATTTCCAAATGGTAGATTGGAAAAAATTTATTCCTTTTTTCTGTCAATGAACACCATATTTTATCTTTGATCTTTAGTTTGATCATAGCACAGTAAATTAAACCAGCATCTGGCCTGCAAGGAAATGCAAATTTAAATGACATTAACTCTTCTCTTTGGCATAAACTTAATTTGGGACATGATTTTTAAAAGTTTTACAAGACAACATATGATAAATATTAGTAAAGATTACTCTTGATTTTAGGCTAGCCAGTTAAGGAGAAGTTCCTAAAATATTAGATTATGGATATGTGTTGAAATATATCAAGATTCATCATAAATCAAAATAAAATTATTACTGATACCTTATGATCACAGCTCAAAAAATATTTACAAGAACGTAGCAGGCTGAATTGCTGCTTGTACAGGAGAGCACTGATAGATGACGATCTGGTGGATCCTGAACACAGTGAGGCCACAGGAAGCAGCAAGGGCTGAGAACCAGCCAGGGATGGGAGCAGAGGATTTGGGAATACACAGACTTTACAAAGAATGCCACATTTTATGTAAGTCACCACTGGTTATTTACACCTGGCCACAGGACAGCCCCAGCCACTCCTCAGCTCTCCGCAGGCTCCAGCTCTGTCTTGAGTTTTTTGCTTCCCAGGACTTGTTCATCAAACAACTCTCTCTCTTTTCCTCACCAGTGGTCCTTTAATGTACTTCTTTTCTGCCTTCTCATAATCGATGTTACCCACAGCAGCAATGACACAGATGATGGCATCAGGTAAAAGCACATCTGAAATGAATCTGATGCCATCCCCCAGGATCTGGTGCAGGTTCTTGGTGTCCATCTTCTTCAGCTACCTAACCAGCTACTGGACCAGGTCCAGCTGCTCCTCATCCTCCAAATAAGTCTCCACATAGGTCATGTACCGCTTGGAATTCAGGAATTCCTTCAGCCCGCAGGATTGTTTCCCAGTTTTCAAGATCGCCAGGAGATGCTCTTCAGCCCCTTTGGTCTTCACTATGAAGTCCACTAGCTTCTCTTTCTCCCTGTCCCTGGCAGCTCTGGTCCTGTCAGGGAGGAGCTTCCTCAGAGGTTTCTGGGGGGAGGTGTCTGAGGAAGACTGTCCAGCCCCTTCCTCCCCTGTGTTTGGGAATGCCATCTGCACCACACTGTGGTATCCCTCTTTCCTCACTGGGTAGCTGATATCAGCAGCAAAATACTCCAGGGAAGGACCTGGAGTAAAGAATGACAGCCCACTTGGATCCAATAGCCAGGAAGGACTCCAGCTGGAGGCACCACTTGATTTCCCTGGAATAGTTCTCCTTGGCTTGTTCAATGAGCTCCTCACAGTCAAAGTGCTTCAGGCTCTTCAGAAACACTGAGAAACCTTTTTTCTTCTCATTTGTGGTGCCATCTATGAAGAGCACACAGGCCCTCCAGTGCTTCCTCTTCACTGCTTTCACCACTGCTGGCCAGTACAGATACCGCTGCCACTTGCACCACACCAACATCTCTTCCTCGAAGAATTTGTCTCAACGGGACAGAACGCTTGGGAAATTTTCCTCCTCTTCATCTGCAAGTTCTTTCCAATACTGTGATGAGATGAGGATCTCCTTTCATCTTGAGATCTTCAGTTTGAATGGCATCATTCTCATACTCTTGCTCCTTGTCCAAAGACACCTCAGTTTTAGAAGCCTTTGAGGCAAATTTGTTATTCCAGAGTTTCTGTCTGACTGAAGATTTCTTCTCATTACATCTGCCAACCAGGTTACCGGCTGCTGAAGGCTGGATCATTTTAAGAGTTGGTCTTTGGGCAGCACTGCATGTGGCATGTGTGCCCGCATTCTCCACCGTTTGTAGCAGCGTGTGCCTACTGTGACAGATCGTATCCAGGGAGGCTACAACCTCACAGCAGAGGAAACAGATGAGACAAGTCTCTTCGTTGTTTACCACAAGAGCCCATTTTATTGGGCTCTCTCTATAAGCTCTCTCTATAAGAGCAGGAGGCGGAGGCCCAGGAGCCCAAGCAAAGCCCAAAGAGCTGAGAAAGAAGAGAGAGGACAGGATTTTATCAGGTGTCCCATGGGAGGAGTCTTAGGATCAGACTACAGCCTCCTCAGAATGGAAAGGCTCCACACACAGATAACACAGAAACTGATAACTATGTGAATTGGGCTTTCATGGCAAAGTTCTGGTAGTGGGAGGGACTGCAGGGGTGGCATCTGTGAGAAGCTGCTGGAAGTTTCCCCCATGTCTGATGGAGCCAATGCCCACCAGCTTCAAGATGGGCCCACCACTGGCCAAGGCTGAGCACTTCAGCAATGCTGGCAGCCCAACAGAGTTCAGTAAGGGAAAAAAGCCTACTGAACAGCAGTAGCCAGAGAAAAGAGGAGTGAGAATATGCGGGAGACACATCTCTGACATCCAAGTCAGTGCAGAAGGAGGGCAGGGGGTGCTCAGGTAGCAGGTGCAGCCACGGAGATAACAAGAATGTAGACATCCACCTAGAGCCCATGGACAACCCCACACCAGACCAGGTGGATGCCCAAAGCAGGCTGTTTACCCCCATGGAAAGTCCACAATGGACTAGGCTCCTGGCAGTACTTATGACCCTGCAGGGCAGAGAAGGTGGAAGTGATAGAAACCTGAAGAGAAAGCTAAGAAGGTCCAGAAAAAAGGGATGGGTGGGGGCACATGCCTACATGTTTTAATATTTAGTTTTATTCATCACTACACCACTATGATTTGATTGAGCATAAATTAAACTAATTTTCCCCAGGTTTAGTCTATTGTGCCTGTGATCATAATTGATGAGTAATTTCTACTTGTCCTTATCAAATCCCATGAGCCCTTTTGTTATATTTTCCCTCCCCTGTCCTGCTGAGGACGGTGAAATGATAGAGTGGCTTTGGTGGACACCCACAACACTATGTCATCCTGTTAAAGAAACTGTAAGTTTCCACAGAATGTTGCAATTTCTGGTGTCACACCTCGTCGTCAGGCTTAATTTTTTCATTTTCAATCTACTATGCAATAAGCTTCTGATCCTTTAGTAAGACAAACTCTAAAGAAACCACCTATGTTTTTAAACTGACAAGAGGGATATTCCATACCATACAACACCATGCTCAGCAATAAGAGCTGGAGCACAGAAAAAGGGTGGGGAGGGCATTTGAAGTAATGCCATTAGATTTTTCAGGTCACCTTTAGGCAGGATGGAGCCTGGCTGTCCTGGAGAGGGCTGAACACCTGCCTGACCATGGGAAGTGGTGAACAAATTCTGTGTTTTGCTTTGCTTGCGCGTGCAGCTTTTATTTTGCTTGTTGAACTGCTATTGTCTCAACCACAAGTTTTCTCCCTTTTGCCCTTCCAAGTCTCTTCTGTGCCCTGCTGGGAGGTTTGAGCGAGCAGCTCCATGAGGCTCAGCTGCCAGCTGGGGTAAAACCACCACAGATACTTGCAATATCTGGAAACATTAAAAAAGCTAAAAATATAACTACAAGATGACAGCAAAAAGTATTAATGCTGGACAGAATGGCATCATTAGGGAAGTGTACTACATAATTATTACTGTATAATTAGTGTTCTTGGCCAATTTATAAGCATAAGAAGGTTTGATATTAAGTTGTCATGAGTCAGTTAGCAGTCATTAAAATAAAGCTATACAACCAATTTTTTCAGTTTGCACTCATTATACTAGCAGATCCTTTTATCATCGTGCTACACAGCAGCTTTAAAGAAGTCATTAGGCCCTCATTTACTTCAATGTTGGTCATAATCTTCAATATTCTAATGTATTTGGGTAATTTCAAGGTACAAGAGAGACATCTGCTTCCAAGAGGACTTTTCATCATTAAAACCTTCAAGAACATATATACATTTCAACCAGAAAAGGTAGGAGCAATTATATCACTTTATATTTCCTTTGTAGTACTTGTAATGTGTGCATTGTGTGTGTGGCTGATAATGATGACCAAGATTGAGAATTATAAAGGAATATAGCAATAATATATTTTGTGTTTTGACTATATAATAACATAGTTAAAACACAGAAATCACAGTTTTGCATTTACTTCAAGGCAATTAGAAATCATTTTCCATTTAATTTTAAATATCTTGCCTCCTTACTTAAATAAAAGTCTTATTATGTATTTAAAGTGCATACTTACATAAGCAAAAAGGCTTTTGTGGCAATAATCATCAATTTCATATCATTGAATTGGTTCAGAACTGTTCCACATTAGCATTTGATTACCATATCATTAATATGAAACTCAATAAACTACGCCATTAAAAAGTGTTCTCAGAATAGAATGCAAACTGGCTAAGAACCTAAAGATAGATCAAGATTCTAGCTGAGCTTTATTTGTTAGGATTTTTCTTCCTAGTTAAAATTTTGCTCTTTGCCAAGTTGCAACAATCTACATATTTTTTAGAGTATTTAATTGAATTTTCTATCAAAATTGATGTTTTAGAAATGAGAAAAAGCCAGTTTGATAAACAAAAAAACCTTTCCACTGTAAAATGAACTTCCTATAAAGGACTAACTGTCCATTCTTTTATTAAAGAACATAGTACACATATATGTAGTTGATTTAACTTGAAATTCAGAGGGCTTCTACTTTGATAAAAGTCTTAAATAGTACTAAACATGAAGTGGATACATGCAGAATTGCTTTAATTTTGAAAGTACAGAAAGGGATGGAACATGTTTCTGTCTGTAGTTTGCAGGTAGTTTCCTCCTATCTTGGATTAAAATATCACTCAAAATTTTGTTGTCGATATGTCCTCTGTTGAGGGGAAAAAAATCACCATTTTGAATAATACCTGTATAGGGCACAGAGTGACAGAGACTGATAAAAGGAGTCTTTATGGAGCTCATCATGGGCAAAGTCTGCAGCTCACACAGAATGCCACGTATTTCACATCTAGGTTGTTTTATGCTCATAAGGTGACATCTGTCCGAGACAATTCAAGTACACAAGAGCAAGAAAGAATTACTTTATTGTATTTTGTACCTCACTTCAGCTGTGGTAATCTGACAAATTGCTTTAGCTATCAGAAAACCAAATCCTGATGTGCAAAGATCTACACATTGTTCGTTTGTTTTACATTACAGCAGCCTAAAATCCCTGCTCTTAGGGTGACACTTGTGCTGTTAAAGTAGTATACAGTACGAAATATGGCTTAAAGTGTCTTTAATATTTAAAGATGCACTTCAGTGTGTCACAATATCCAAAATTATAAAAATATTTTGCAAATTATTAAACTTTACAGTACCTGTAAGAAAAGAAGGACATCCTGTCAAAGCAATTTCACTATGTTGTCTTAAAATAATGTTTTTTCCTGTTAAACTTGTTACTCTAAAACTCCCTGAGTGAATCTTCAGAAGAACAGCAACCGGTTGTCTGACTAAGACCAATAATCCTATTTTGCAGAAAATTAGGATTTTTAGCAATAGCCTTGGGGTCAGATTAAGATTGATCTTAATATGCAAATTTCAGCTGTACACTGCAGAAAAACAAACTTTATTTCTTGCAGTTAAATTACCTAACTAAACACAGCACATTGTAGGGCTCTTTTTAAAAGAATTCTTTTTCTGTGGTTGTCTCTGTGCTTCATAACTAAGGAAAAGTGAAACAAATCCAGTCCCTTGTGCAAATAAAGAGCCTCTTACTTTCAACCCAAAGGCAGAAATGTTATGTTTCATCAAATAAAAAGTCAGTACCCAGCTGTGCAATCTTTCTTCTTTATTGTAAAAGTCTGGGATGCATTAAAAATCAGATATTAAACTCAAAGGTCTTGACAATGTCAGTTTAGTCTTCTTGCTAAAAATAACTTGAATTAGGCATATCACATTCATAAGCAGTATCTTCTTTGATGTCCCTTCCATCCATAAAATTATTTCAATTAAATTTGTACAGAATAAGAAACTTTGATAAACCTCTACAACTCTGCTGAAACACCCAAGTTATGTTAAAATTACATCACTGTAGGGGAAGAGAAACTTGTAATTGTTGTATAAGCTTTATCAGCTCATCTGTTACAAATTCCACCCTCACTATACTTTTCTCCTAATATTTGCTGGACTATTAAGTACATTTTATGCTGTTGTTTATTGCAAAAAAGTAAACTGTCTTTCACTACAAAGAGACTTACATTTTCCATCTACAGGAAAGAGGACAATAAGCAAACACAGACCTTAGTATGTCTACATTAAATCAAAGATCTTCATGATCAAAAACAACTGTTATCCTAAAGTTAATTTTTAATAAATGTGGTAGGTATGCTGCTTTGCAAAAATGTAAAATTTAAAAAATTCTAAAAGCCAGACTGTTCTTGCTGAAGTCTTATTTACAAGGATAAATTCAGCCTCCTATTTCTTAGGTTTTTGAGCCCTTAGTTCAACATACCTGCTGTCAGTGTACGACACTAAAATCTGTCACACAGCAAATCCAAAACGTAAATTGTGCTCAACTCCAATGCTGAGAAGGTGGACTACAAGGAATGC